TGGGAGTCTACTTTCAAACCTTTACAGTGTTATCAATAAACAAGGTTTAGCGTTGAAGTAAATTTACGCTGTGAGAGCACTTAGTATTAGTCAAAATTCATATTATTAAATAGAGACTTAGCAAAGTTTAACCTAGTACGAGTTTCTAGATGAGTAATATTTTCTCGTAGAAAGCTTGCTTATTCTTTTTATAGTATGAATTTGGACCAATACAAAAGTTGCAATTTTATCGTTAAAAACCTTGTTAAGGTTTAGCGTTTGATTTTAAATCAAGTGAAGAAATTTGACAGAGATGTATCACCTGTGACGTGCTGTTGAATGCACTCATATTGTTCTTCTTCTTCTTGTTTTTTTAATTAATGGCTTATCTGCGCATTTCGCACAATTCTGCCAATGTTAAGTAAATTAATTAATTTTTACATGAAAAATGAAAATGGAATGAATCTACTTCATCCTGTTTCCTATTTAAAATTTGTGCGTTTCGTACTCATATTGATATCTATAAATTTTCTAAATCTGACAAAGACTCTGTTTTTTTTAAATTCCGTTAACAAACATGCCCTGAATTATTATCTATACTATTAAGTTATTATTACAAAGTAAGGAAAATTAAGTAAAAAACATATATCGACGCTGGAAAGCAAACACGTTGTAACCCGCAAAACTAAAATTGTTCTTCAGAACAGAAAAAGTTTTATTTTTTTCGAAAAATTATTCTTTTACACGTCCATGGTAATAAATGAGGTGTTTCCTAAGTCAATTTATACGGAAATAGATATTTTTTTCGAAATATATGAAGACTTTCCACATTAAATATCTATTTTGGTTTTTTAGGTTACTATGTCTTTATTTTCCAGTGCCGACAATTATAGAATAGAGTCCAGCTTAACATCTTTTCATAGCTACAGCTTTATTGACTTGCCTTGCCTTGGAACTGGCATTTTACTGCCGTAAATGGTTCTGTTTATTGGAACGGTTTAAAGTAAATGGAAAGCAATTTGGCAGTTTTAAAAAAGTCCAATTCGCCTCAAATGTTATGTTCGTGTCAGAATCGTTTATTTATTCTTATGGCTCGTTACACCAAATTAAGTTCATAAGTAGATTTGGAAAATTTTAACGCACTTGGCAACATTTCTCAGAGAATTTCCTGAGAAACAATTTTTAGGCACTTAGCTTAAGCGTTGCCAGGTGAAAAAAAAATTGAAATTTTATTGATACTTTGAAATTTTTAAGGAAACGTTTTTATGTGGATTTTCATAATTTTTTTTATACGAATATTTTAATTTTGAACTTTTAGGATACCTGATAAAAAAATTAGAATGATCGACTGGTAAAACCGAGAGACAACATACATACTACTAACTACGTAAAACTGTGACCAAAACAAAATGCGCCGAAGCGAGCTATACAGAGAGACCTGGTCAATCGGTTAAGTAAGAACTGTGCCGAAAACAAAATGCGAGCAAGGCGAGTCATAAAAAGAGACCTAGTACATCAGTTACGTTAGGTTAGAACTGCGACCAAAAGAAAAAACGAGCGAACCGAGCCATGAAGAGTAACCATTAAGAGGGACCTGACCAATCGGTTAGGTTAGGATAAGACCATTAAGAGAAACCTGGTACATCGGTTAGGTTAGATTAGAACTGTGACCAAAAGAGAAGCCAAATCCTTTAATCCATCTATTCTATGTTACATATGTTGACAATTTATGATTTTAATATTGCAAAAAAAAAAGATTTTTTTATGATGTTCCCCCATGTTTTAAAATATGGATTCAATTATAAAAAAACTTTTTCTTGACATTTACATGGTGAATTAAATAGTGTTGCCAACACTGGTCGTAATCGGTATTCGATCCTTTTTTTAATACTAAGTATGAACTTACTATTGAATAAGAATACGAAAGTAAAGCCCATTACAAAGCCAATTACATAACAAATATTTTGAGTTTCACTCGCATTTTATGACTGAATATTTCTTTTTCTATTGAGTGCAAACTGGCAACCATTTTTCTTTGTTGTGTGTTGTGTGTACATAAACACCTTTCTTATAAGGATAAATCCAAAAAAAATCAAACTAACCTATCTGTAGGCGATTCAAAACTATAAAACTAAAGTGACAAAATAGCAAAAATAATAAATATCCACAACGGAGGCGGACTTAAAACCCCACCGCCCCGATTCCATAAGCTACCTCCAGCCAAGCGAAAACTAGTACAGTAATATTAATGTCAACAAATTATGTATGTAGGCATATTAAATCAAAAATTAAAGAAAAATATATAAAATCTACAATGATATATTCATTACGTATGTCAATAAAATATTATGGGGATAAAGTCCTTTAGTTTTGTCATTTATGGATTCCCCAATTGTGTAATAAGATTTGTTTATAACTTAATATTTAAAATTAATTATTTTATAATGGAATCCTTAAGTAAACCAAATATACAATATTACGAAAAATTTGTTTCATCCTAAGTAGGTGCTGTTTATTAAAAAATGAATTACATAGATATTTTACTGTAACTCCGATAATTTCCAGAAATACGAAAAATATAGTTCTTATTTGATTTGATTATTCTTCGATCAACAATATAACGAGATAACGCCTCCGTAAAACAATACTCAAATATGGCACCAAAGATTACAATTTTTTTTTATAATAAACGTGTAATTTATAACCATGGGTATGTTCCGATATACACTGCGACCACTGAACAGAATGACGTCAATTTAGTATACTGGAAGCCCGTTCCTTTATAGCTAGTTATACTGGTGACTTTTTAAAACGGAACGCAGTCCAGTATACTGTTAATCCTATTTTTTGGCGCCATTTTCAAATTTGTTAATGCAAGGTGAATATAAATATAAAGATTCCCTCTTTTCAAAAGAAAATTGGAAAATTGTACAAAAAAATTATTTATCAATTAAATCCATCTTATAAATAAACGTAAGTATTTTTTTTTGTTTATTTAGAAACTTATCATTTTCTGATTCTGTTTCACTGATCACTGATCACGTGATCAAAAGCACTGCGAGCACCTTACCTCGAAATCTCCAGTGCTCACAGTACAAATATGGCGGCAATTAATGACGTCATAAATTTCCCTAGGGTACTGTAGCAGTGTACTGGCAGTCCATAACGGAACGGATTTTTCAGCAGTAAGACCACTGCGCAGTGCTCGCAGTGTATATCGGAACATACCTTCAATCACCGATTTAAGTCACTTTCAGAAAACGCATCTTTTGCTTTTAATAGTTTTGTTGTAAATAGATACCTACTCAAAATACAAACAACGATACAAACCTATATGTACGCATAATGGAGAACACGAACCATTACACACCAAGATGGTTTTCAATGAGGAAGTATTTGAAAAAAAATAGTTTCCAAAATCATACTAGATGTCGCTACGGTACGTTCTAGATTTCTCTATGACAACTCTTCCGGTTTTCTTTCATGTGTAAAAGTAAATTAGTTCACAAAACTTAATATACAACTAATATTCTATTTGTAGTACGTAGTTAAAAGGCACGGAAATGACTATCCATTCGTATCCTGCAAAAACCGACTTTTGCTAGAGTCGCCATCTAGTGGAAATGCTTTTTAGTGCTTTCTTTTTTTTAATTTTTCCTCATTATTGTCCAAATTTTTGGTAAAAAAAAATGTAATAGTCCATGTATGTGCTGTCTTAGAACATCGAATTTTTGGCCTTCTAAATCTAATTTTGAATAACTACGTGGCTTGGGTCAGAAACAAAACTCGGTTATTTTATTGAAATACTTTGACATTAACAACCCGTACATATGATATTCCAACAGATACATTTTTATTCTGATAGTTATATTTGCAGTTTTAATACGCACTGTGACATTGTAATATGTCCGAACGTTGGCGCCGTCGCAAACAAAATAAATCAAAATAAAATCCCACTTTGAAGCGAGTCGTTATGTCTTCGGCCATCTTTGAGACTGGCCGGACATATTTTTGTATTGTTGATCGAAGTGATTATGTGAAAATTTTATGGTCCTAGGGTATGTTCCGATATACACTGCGACCACTGAACAGTATGACGTCAATTTTGTATACTGGAAGCCCGTTCCTTTATAGCTAGTTATACTGGTGACTTTCTAAAACGGAACGCAGTCCAGTATACTGTTAATCCTATTTTTTGGTGCCATTTTCAAATTTTTTAATGCAAGGTGAATATAAATATAAAGATTCCCTCTTTTCATAAGAAAATTGGAAAATTGTATAAAAAAACTATTTATCAATTAAATCCATCTTATAAATAAACGTAAGTGTTTTTTTTTTGTTTATCTAGAAACTTATCATTTTCTGATTCTGTTTCGACTGATCACGTGATCAAAAGCACTGCGAGCACCTTACCTCGAAATCTCCAGTGCTCACAGTACAAATATGGCGGCAATTTATGACGTCATAAATTTCCCTAGGGTACTGTAGCAGTGTACTGGCAGTCCATAACGGAACGGATTTTCAGCAGTAAGACCACTGCGCAGTGCTCGCAGTGTATATCGGAACATACCCCTAATGAACAACGCTGTCACGGAGCATGTAAGCGACATCTAGTTTGATTCAGAAAACTACTTTTTAAAATACTTTCTATTATGTATATGCAACTAGTGTCCTCCAGTGTCGATTAGAAAAACTATAAACTTAATTTATTTCATTATTCACTTAACTATTAGACACTAGATGGCGGTGATTAGACACCATCTACATTAAATGTCAAACTCAATACTGATTTAGTGAAAATAATGTTTTCGATTGACGTTTTGTTTATTTTTACGCAATTGGTTTATTTCATAAAATAATAAGTAATGCATATTGTTGCAGCTCAAAACTGTAATATTAGACACCTACTTTGTTATTTTAATGCGCATGCTATTTACAATAAAGGTCAATGCGCATAGTCAAAACATTGCGCATTTCGGAACTACTAACCTCCCTCAGGCGCCCTGAGTCAGGCCTTTAACACTCAACAGAGTTGATCGACCAGCACCAGAGCTGTCAGTGCAAGCAAGACTTTTATTTCTTTTCAATATTCCCCTTTTGTGTTAAATTACATTTTGGTGCTTAGTGGATGTGCTAAGTGTTTTCAGCCGCCTTTTGTTTTTGTTAGGTGCTAAATAATACAAGAACTTCAGGTAAGTCACTTTATTCCTCCTTTCTAATAAATTCAAACACCCCCATTTTGCTGCGTAAGCAGATATTTGCTTTCCGGTCAGATCTAAAAACGTAAATAAATGGACAATCTATTTGTGTATATAAAATCTCTATAAAATGTAATTGCAATGATGATGTCATGATCATGAAACCTCCAAAGCTGACTAATTAACTTTGGATAATTAGTTTTTTGTAGATACAGTCATCACTATTTATTTCAATCATAGTTTATTAAATGAATTATTGTAAAATAGCAATAAATTAGATGTGACATGTATTGATGAATATAATTGACACACATATTGAACTATTTACTATCTACATGTAAATTGTTTACTCTCATAAAAGAATGAATATATTAGTTAAGTTTTAACTCTGCCACCTATTCGTAAAGGGGACTTTTTCTGCAACTAAACACTAACCAAGTAATTTAGAGTACAAAGAACAGTATATATTTTATCAGTTCCTCTAACAATATCTTAGATAAATAAATCAAGTGTCATTTGGAAACAACTCAGACTCAGAAAAAAAAAATTCTTATGAATGTTTGGCAACACTCTTTAATTAAATTAATTTAAATAATGCAATATTGTGGGTCTCCAACATTTTGAAATTACATTTATTATACCAGTAGTTATAAGTACCAGGATGTCAAAGATCATCTCTTATGTCAATATTAGATTTCTAAAAAGTAGGGAGTATTGCTGCTATAAGTGAATTATTACATTGGTACAAACTTAATAAATGAAAAATGCTTAAAATCTTTATATCACCTTGTTAGATAGTTATTACATAAATTCTGATACAAATTTCTGGAAATAATAATAATTTAATTAATAGTAAGAAGCCTTTGTTCAGAGAACCATTAAATTTATGTGTCAAATATACTTTTAATTAATACAATTTTATTCTTATGTTACACAAATATCTTGTTTAGTAACATTATTTAATGAATGCTGATATATGTCAATATTTAATTGAATTATGTATTTTTGTCGATATTAGATTTTATATGTTTATATATAATAAGTTGTTTCGTTGGTTATCTCTGTTTGTCTTTTAGCATAGGCCTCCCCCAATCTTTCCCAATTTTTTTTATTTGATGTCAATCTAGTCCATGTTAGTCCTGCAGTTTTTGCTAGTTCGTCTTCCCATTGTCTCCACTGGAATATCTGGAAATAATATCTGCTGATAAATATTAGCTTGCGAATATTTATGTTTGCAGAACAAGAAAATAATAAATATATTGATACTAAATCTTCGGTGTGAAAATATATAAATATTTTATCTCCATATTTCTATAGACCATTCATATGTTGCTTCTGTGATTTGCTGAAAGACATAGTTGGTAATGAACTTACTTTTACTCACAAATTGGTTTATTAAACTCCCTTCTTCACAAACACTTGAAAGCGATCTCAACATTGTTTATCTTTTTATTCTATAAAAATTGGAGAATTGTCTTTGGTATTTCAAAGACAATTCTTCAATTTGCTCTTGATTGAGGATATTAAACTGATATCAACTGGAACTGTCAACAATTTTATAAATATTTGATTTACATTATAGTTATAAAAATAATCATTGTGATAATGAAAGAATTATTATTATTGCTTTTAGCACCATTAGTGCTTTATTATATTAATTAAATAATAATTACTAATAACATTAAATCGTGATCATTAACATGCACAATATGTGTAAAAACCCTGACTTTTTCTTATCATGTTTTAATGCACTTTTCAATAATTTATATAATTTAAAGCAATAAACTAAAAATCTGATAAAAAAATGACTGATTTCTTTTCTGGGTTATGAAAATCAGAAAAAAAAAGTTAAGCATTTTTTACTAAGACTATTTTTCAGTATAGCATTTGCATGCAAAATTGATCAAATAAAAAAAAGTAAAAAGTAGCTATTAATTTTAAATTTGAATATGTACCTAAATTACACTTATATTAACACACAATTTGACATTACTTGTAGAGTTCTACTGTGAATAGATAAAAAAATATTCATGATTTGTAATTTTCCTTTTATATTTTTTTCTCAATAGTAATGGTGTATTAGCAAAAGATTTATATAATAGTAGTCTTGTAGTGTGTACCTCTATAGGCAGTATTAAATTCAGATATTAATTCCGTGGATATTAAGAGTTATCAGCAATAAGAATGACAACTGGGTAAAAAAAAATATTTATTTGGTTAGTCAGATAATAGAAAAATATTAGATACGAATTTTTATTTTTTGCTTCAGTTTAAACAAGAAATGGAAAAAATAATAGTCATTAAAGTTGAACAGTGGGGCCTCGCCACGTCACAGTTTTGTAGAAAACAAATGTCAAGTACAAAGTACAAGATGGTGACGTCATGCGACACTTTAACTCAATGTATTGTCGTAATTTATCGATTACCCAAAAAATAAAAAAAAAAAATACGTATTTAATATTTTTAAATAATCTGCTGTGCTTGCTTTGTCTGAGGCAAAAGCCTTTTTAAAGTTGGTGGTAAAAATGTTCGCTTTGTAACCTCATCCAGAATAAATGATATATATGAGTATAAACAAATAGAATATTTTTTAATTTTTTTCACCATAAATCGTACATATCCAGATATGCAATGAGTGACAACCTTGACGCAAGGTAATAAATTGTTAATAATTCTAAAAAATCTGGATTTAATACTCCAAATCTACTGTACGTAAATCTTTTGCTAATATGAATGAATGAATGAATGAATATTTATTGAACACATACACCATTTGACAAATTAAAAAAAGACATAATAATAACTAAGACATAATACTAATTAAAAAATATATAATAATAATAATATAAAAATCTTCAAATTTGCCTAAATTCACAATATTATATCATAGTCGGTGCAGTGCTCAAAAGGTCCCGGCTCGACATAGTGCTGCAGCAGACTACAGCGTCGATTTTCAGCCAGCACCCAAGGAGTGCCAATGCTCGCTAGCTCTGCTATAATACTCCGCGAACGGACTCGCAACCATGTGGTCGCGTAGCGCTCGCAACTATCGCATACGCATTTGTGTTCTTTATAAATAATATTATGTTATGGAACTTAATTTAATAATACGCTATTCCTCAAGAAAAAAAAAAGAAAAATGATAAAAACGTAATTATTATGTTATCTATTCGCAACAGAAGACTACAATGGCATCATGGTCTGGCATAAATAAAATGACTCGTTTGAGTTAAAAGAAATGGTCTATTTAGGATAATCTTACATAATAAATTCACGGAATTCGTGTTCCTGATCTAGAAACCTTTTATCTCTTGCGCAATCTAGGCAATCTAAAATGTTATCAATATTATTAGAATAAAATTTCGCTGTGCATCTACTGCTTGTTTGGTGATAATCTATCTACGTCACTTATCGTAATTTTGCATGATAATGGAGCAGATGAAGTGATAGCTTCTAATATTATTTGAAATATGAAAAAAATAAGTGTTTTTTACTCTGATATAGGCAGGGTAATTATGTTATTGTCAGGATTATTTATTTATATGTTAGAGTAAAAACGCTTATTTATAATTAAGAAGCTTATACATTAACTGCAATCAAATAACAATAGATTTTATTTTATTGTAACCCCGGCTACACCCACTCGCTTGTTCTGTGGCTGCGCCATTACACGTCAGGTTACCTCAATATGCCAAATTTCTACACTAGATTTTGATCTCTAACCGTTTGGTGTAGTTAAAGGATTTAAAATTGAGTGGGTAAATTTGACCTGTGAATAAATCGTTATTAAATTTTGCTGCTATTACCTATAATGTGTAATAAAAAAGTCTATAAATAATAACAAATATTATATAATCGAATACTGAAAACTCAAATACCGCAGCATCTCTAGAAAAGGTTTTCGACTAATGTATATTGCCCGTGATAACATATATCATCGAGGTACCTATGATTGCTAATTGTAGACCTCATAAAAATAGGCTCAAGTCATTCTGAGGGATCTTATTACAAATAAAGACCTGCAGACACTAAAGTGATTGACATAGCCAGCCTGAAGGGTTATGAGCCTCATGTGGCAATAGACAGGATACATAGTCGAGTCCGCCAATAGCGACCGCGTTCCGGAAGACGGAGCGCTGGTAGCCCGCCCATAAGATGGACCGACGATCTGCATGCTTATTCTTGAAATCTTGTACGCAATCACGATCAATCGACATTCGAGGATCTCAATACCTGAATGATTAGCACGCCGGTTTCAAGGTGTTACCAATGTAGAAAAGGAACTTTTCTAACTCTCTTTTCGGGTCTGGCTGTTGTACTTTCGTTGTTTCAAATACTCCATAATACCGGGGTCATGTCTTTAGAAAGCGTTGGATGAGCACCGAACGAAACAGATCGTCGTGGAGATTTTTGGGGGAGGCCTTTATTTAATAGTGAACGTATTTCGGATGATATGATGATGGTATGACAAAGACACATGACCCTCGCTACTAGGTTTATAATTGAAAGATAAGTTTATCAATTTGTAAAATATCTCTTATAACTTAGGTGAAGAATAAAAACCGTATTCTATTCTGTAAGACTTGAAATTCCCATGGTTTGTAGGTTTCCCCACAGGGTGTGTCTGTGTGCTAAAGATGAATGGGAAATCTTATTATTTTATAACTCAAAAGTAAGGTAAAATCTGTTGAACAGCCTTTTATCTGACTTCTTATAGTATATTGTTGTTTGACTTATTCATGACTACAGACAGAGCATCCAAGCAATGTTTGAGTTGTAATTTCCCGATGAATGGTGCATGCAGCTCTAACCATCTACCACAACTTGAGCAGAAAGCTATGTAACTAGAAAGCAATCAGCGAACCAACAGTAACGTTGTTTATTTGTTGTTACGCAATATTTCTTACTGCCATTCGTCCGAGAATTCCTGCACTAATTTGTCCTAATTTTATAGAGCGTCTCCTTGAGCGTTCAGCTAGCAGGGTTTTATATGC